CTCTCTCTTTCTCTCCGGGAGGGGTGGGGGGGGGCGGGTGGTAGTTTTGCTCTATCAGGGAGTTGGGTGGTAAGAATTCTATCAGTCTCTACTTCTTTATCATCGGCTCCCCCTCCACCGGAAATCTATTAAAATCTTGTCTTTGGGTAAGTGACCATCTTTTCTTTTGTCATGAGCTGCTTAATTCGAAACTTGAAATGGGAAGCTCTCTTGTTTCCGGCCAATGAGTCTGCTTTTCCCCTGCCCTGGCTCCCTTCATATCTGGTTCCTCCCACCTCCCCTTGCCCTGGAAGCCAGCCAGTGCCATTGCTGCCATTCTGCAGGTGACAGGATGCCCCGGTCGCATCCACCCCGTCTCCCCAGCTGGGATGCTCCCACTCCCCAGCAGCTACCGGGAGAACAGCTATCGCTAAAAGGCACGGTGGGGAGGGAGGCCGAGCGGGAGGAGGCCAGGCCCAAGGTCACGCCGCATGAGCACCAGGGCCCCTCTCCGCCAGCCAGGCCTCTCCCATTGGCGACACTGGCTTGGCTTGGAAGGTGCCAAGCCCCCACCTACCGACAGATCTCCAAGGAGGGGAGCTGGCCTGGGGGGCCAGGCGGGCCTCACCCATCTGCCGGCAAGGTGTCCTCTCGGCTCTGCGTCACTTCTCCCCTCCCCTGCTTCTGCCCTGGGCAGCACCTCTGGAGACCAACCCACTCAGCCCCTTGACGTTAGGAAAGAGGACGCCCAACCACGGGCCGGGTGGACCTCCGTTTTAACGGAAGCTTCTGCAAAGAAAGAGACTCTGGGGCCTGCCCCAGCTATCAGGAGGGACGGCGTCTAGGCCACCGTCCTTGCAGCCGACTGCCCCTTCGTCCCTATTTTGTCTGTGAGACAGCTGAGGCTGCCGGAGCCTGAGGAGGGAGCTAGGGAGCAAGTAGGGGAGGCAGGTCACGGTCAGCTGATAATTCATCATGGACCGTGTGTGCTGAGGAAACAGAGCACACACTTCATTTTTATTTCTTTTATAAAATTAAAAAAAAATTGAAGGTTTATTTATTTTTGACAGAGAGAGAGAGGGAGAGATAGCACAAGCGGGGGGAGGGGCAGAGAAAGAGAGGGAGACACAGAATCCGAAACAGGCTCCGGGCTCTGAGCTGTCAGCGCAGAGCCTGACTCAGGGCTCGAACTCTGACCGGCAACATCGTGACCTGAGCCAAAGTCAGACGCTCAACCCACTGAGCCACCCAGGCGCCCCTCTTTTATAAAACTTTTTAAAGTTTGTTTTGTTTATTTATTTAGAGCGCGAGCTTGAGCAGAGGAAGGGGAGAGAGAGAGGGGACGAGAAAGATCCCGTGCAGGCTCCGCGTTGTCAACACAGAGCCCCGTGTGGGACTTGAACGCACGAGCCGTGAGATCAGGACCCCAGCTGAAATCAAGAGTCGAATGCTTAACCCACCGAGCCACCGGGCACCCCCGCACACACTTTAACTCATCCCCTGCCACGATCTCAGGAGGCAGATACTCTCGTTATCCCCATGCTACAGATGACGAAACTGAGGTCCCAAGAGAGCCAACCCATTGCCCCGGCCTCCACGGCTGGCCAGCCCGGGAGCTCCAACCACAGCACAAACCGCCTGTAGCCAGGCCTGCCAGGCCTCGCAGGCCTTCCAGTGACACCACCCCACATCCTGAGAGTCAGGAAGTTCCTCCTTAGGTCTCACTGCAGTCTTTCCTGGCTTAGTCCAAGCCCAGATTCTCTTGTTTGTCCTGCTGGGGACCTGAGCTGCACTGTAGATTTCCAGTTTGCCTCCGGGACAGGGGTGCATTTCTCTCTGAGTCTTCCCTTCTCCGGAACAACCCTTCCCGGGTGGCCCGGTCTCCCGCACGCCTTTGGCCACCTTGCTCTTCCCCTTCCAGTCTCTCTCCTATTGCAAGTTATGTGAGTCACACAACTTGCCTTTAGACCGGGGTGAAGGGGTCCTGCCAGACCCTTCAACTTAGAGGGCTCCGCTCAAGTGTCTTGAGGCCGTGTCCCTCCGCACAGGGCATGGGGTCTGGGGCCCAAGGGGCTGTACCCACCTAGAGCCCACACTCTCCGACCCCCAGCCAATGCTCTGGGTACTCAAGCCCCTGGACTTTCTTGCCCAAATGGCCGTGAGCCTGCTTCTGGGTGGTGCAGACCTTTGTCTGGATTTCAGCCTGTCAAGGCAGACCATACTGCCGGTGTTGCTGGTGTGGGTGCCCTGGGGCGCAAGAGGTAACCAGGGGAGGCCATTGGCAGGGACGGTGCATGGGGGCTTGGAGGTTCTTTTGGGGTGTCCAGTGTGCGATAGAATAGAGATATGCAGACAGCAGGCTGGGGGCTGGCTCTCCCCTTGTCACTTTTTTCTTTTTTTTCTTATTTACATTATTTATTTATCTAAGTCATCTCTACATCCCACGTGGGGCTCGAACTCACGACCCCGAGATCAAGAGTCACATGCTCTACTGACTGAGCCAGCCAGGCGCCCTCCACACCCCCACCATGTTTTCTAGCATAAAACTCCGTGGAGAACCCAGCCTTTCAGGTGGTGAACAAGGATGAGAGAATGACTTTTTTTTTTTTTTTTAATGTTTATTTATTTTTGAGACAGAGGGAGAGACAGACAGACAGTGTGATCGGTTAGGGGCAGAGAGAGAGGGAGACACAGAATCCGGAGCAGGCTCCAGGCCCCGAGCTGTCAGCACAGAGCCTGACGCGGGGCTTGAACCCACGAACCGCGAGCTCATGACCTGAGCCGAAGTCGGTTAAGACTGAGCCACCCAGGCGCCCCGAGAATGACTTTTTAACTCACGATTGGAGTACACACACGGGAAAGTACAGAAGGTAAAAGTTGAGAGCTCACTGAGTTGAACGGGAACACATCATATTTAACAGTTTGTTGACCCGATACGAAATCTTTACATGTTGGGCGCTGGTAGAAGGGCCTCTGCTTACGCTCTCACGCAGGCCCGGGGGCCGCCCCAGCCTGAGAATCGGGGAGAAGGCTTGCTTCCTCCAACTTTGCATCGTCTGCCCTTTCCACCTTAGCAGGTCGACTGCCTTCTACACGGGCAACACCTCCAGCTCCTCCGCGTCTGGGGTCACCTCGCACCTTCAAGTCCCTTCTCGTTAAGCTGCAACGTTGTCTTAACCCCTCCTGAGCCTCAAAGGAGCCTCCTTCATGTTTGCTCGGTTTTGTCATTTTAAACCGGCCCCATCAGAAGCGCGTTCAGCTGGCCGTTCTGTTGTGCCTCCTCCCGGGCACGGCCTGTGATGCCCTGCATGTTCCAGCCCCTCCCGAACCCCCCACC